CTCTGCCTCTTTTACTCTTTGAGCCTCATGTTGTCACTGGAAAAGTTCCAGAGAGGAATTTCTCAAGAAAAAGGGACAAATGCTTGAAAAGACGTGCCAAAGTCACCATGGAGCATCTTAAAACATGCGTAGGAGCTGCCTGATGTTCTAAGATTCGTTTGACTTCACATCCTGCAGCCCATTACAAACCCGTTGGTGGGTATGTCCATTAGTTATGACAATAACTAATGGACATACCCATATGACAATAACTAATGGACTAGGCTGCATCAGAAACTGAAATTTCTAGATCAACAGCTTCTGCCTTCCAGAGTAGCTAATGCTTTCGGTTCAGTTTGCTCCAGCTGTAACTTTAAGTGTGTGCTTGCATGCTTTAGATGCACAAATGATTCTGCCAGGGTCTACTCGTGCACAGGTTTGATGAAGAGTGCAACAGTTAAATGGAACTAGATCACATTATACGGCTTTTGCTATGGGCGAGCTCAGAAACCAGGGCACTGCGCCTGCTCTCTGCCACTGGCTGTGATCAGTAGTGTATCTTATGTCCCGTTCAGACAAGTAACCATTGAGTCAGGCAAAGAAAGACTGATGGAAGGAGGAAGAGAGCGCTGCCAGCTGCCAATGACTGCACCAGTAGAAGTTTTGGAACCTGTTGCAGCAGGTTTTTCTTTCTGTATATCTTATTGCTGGGCTAGCCTGGACGAGTGCCAACACACACACACACACACACACACACACACACACACACACACACACAGACACACACACACACACACACAATGAGTTTGATATTCCGAGCTGCCAAAATCTGAAACCAGCCCATCGCTCATTGCCATACATATTTAGACAGTCAATCTAATCGAAGTGCTTCAGTGTGAGGGTTGAGGGGGCGTGAGGTGCACAGATCCACGAGGGATAATGGGCTCAGATGTGGACAGAGGTTATGGCTCTGACTGAGAAAATCTGACTGAAACTACAAATCCGAGTCGAGAGGGGGCAGTTATTGTTTGCAAAGTTTAGGTGAGTTAATTCGACAGTTTTCCAATGATGTGAAGGATGGTGTTTATGTAAACTGCTGCAACAATTTTGCTCTGATTTGTACTCCATGTTTGTCTGAGAGAGAGCACACAGTACTGCACTGATACTGTTGGCACTGCTGTAGGTGCTGAATGCTCGTTAACCGCTGTGAACTTGTGAGCAGCAGCCTTCTCATGTCAACAATACTGACAAAACACTGTCAGCATATTATCCTGACAAATAGGAGAGCAGATGTGCCATTGTCATTGTCATTGTCTTCTAATTACATGAATGAGCCTATACTTCGCGAACACTTACGTAAAATACAAGTGCCTCAAATTTGCTTTACACAAGTATTCCCATGTGATGCAACTTTATACTTCTACTCCACTACATCTCAGAGGTAAATATTGTACTTTCTACTCTATTACTGTCCAGTGAAATTTATGTATCTTCAAATTTTGTGATTTTCTGAAGGACAAAATGTGGTTTTATGTGTAAATGTAAAGATTCTCCTACTTCTTAAGCTAAATAAACAATCCACTAAGCCTCTTGGATGAGCTGGAAAACTAATGGTCACAAAGCTAAAAACAGAGATCTTTCTCTTTTAGAGATTTGTTGTTCTCACAGGACAGCGATCATATGATGATCTTATAGAATATGATGTATTGCTGTAGATTAAACTGCCCAACAGTATATAAATGAGTTAAATTAGCACAACAGGATTCTGTGCCAGTATCCATTTTGAATCTTTCTCAGCTTTGATCAGAAGATACATTTCTGAAGAGTCCCAACCAGACAAAAGGTTTTACATCCTTTGATGAAGACAGAAACAATGTGAATAATCCGGCTGGACGCTGTAGTTTGCTTTCATTTTTTAACACCACACCCAAGATGAATTTCCCTTTAAAAATGCCACACTGCACAAATATGCAGCAGGTGACTTAGTCACAGTAGCGCTTCATATCACCCAGACAGCTGATGACACCATGATCAAACCTATACAGGACAATCCCCCAGCTTTTGTTTATTCATATAAACCATAAAGATAAGATAAAAAAAACCTTTTACTTGTTGAAACTGATTTGTTGGTCTTCTTTCAAGACATGTCATTGAGTGACATCTGCTCTGTTATACCACAAACACAGCATTATTTGCATATTATGATCATGTAGCAAATATGTACATGTGAAGAAACTTGGCAGACTGTGGCTTCGATCGCATAAAAAGTATGATGTTTGATGTTACAGGGACTGTGATGAATTCAAATGCAAATCCCACTGTTCTGATTGCATAAAAAAAGTCAATTTCATTTATGTCAAGACTATGGTTAGTTCTTCATAAAGAGACGGTTAACCTAAAATTTGAATTAAGAAATTGCAATACATCACATTGCTTAAAATATATCGCAATATATTGAATCTTATCCCCTGTATCATGATATGTATTGCCAGATTCTTGTCGATACACAGCCCAATTTTGGAGTAATGTTTGGGAGAAGTACGCATATCCTGAAGTGAAGGAGGTAAAACAACTGAATTTACAAGTTAGGATCCTGTGTTCAAAATGATACTTCAGTAAAAGTATTATTAGCTAAATGAACCTAAGGATCAAAGGAAAGAGTAAAAATAGGCTTGAATTAATTAGCATTTTCTGCTTAGGTAGATCTTTGTGTTAATGCTCTGAATACTGAACTTAGCACCTTTAACATTCATCTACTGTAGCTAGTGACGATGGGGCAATATGCCATGGTGTATACTGCCGGACAGTTTCATCTACCACAGTGCATCAAGATTTAAATTATATATTTCAAATCAATAAAGAAATGTTTTTTATGTAAAATATTTATCTGTAAAGGTAGAAAGTACAATATATCCCTCCGATAGGTAGAGCAGATGCAGTGTAAAAATTGTAATATTGAAGTAAAGTAGTGACTCAAAATTGGAAGTAAATGTACATAGTTACAACAGATGCGCCAACATCCAGCATGAAAAATAAGAAGTGCTTTTGGCCCAGTACATTAGTAAAATGTGTTAACAGTTCTTAGCTGTGTCTCAACAATGTAGGATTTACAGTGTTTTACTTCCAATTTCTATATCTGCAATGTTCAAAATCGTCATCCCGAACTATTAATACAGCCTATAGTACAGTTTCATCTACTTTAGAAGTCTGCTGGTGAAAATAAAACAGCTACTCTGTGTTCTTTACAGCATGTCAGCTTGCTGAAAAGGTTGCTGATGCATGTTACAATTTCAAAATAAAATGTCAGATGCCCATATGTTCACCCAAATTTTTTTTATTTCTTGCTGTAATCATTCCTCCTGCTTTAAATGTAAGTAATGGTGGCCTAAATCTACAGTCCTCCTGTGCAACATTTATTCAAAGGTTTATCTGGAGCTAATATGAGGCTTCGGCAGTCTGAGTTTGACAAATCAAGTGTTTTTTAGTACAAACCTCCCTCTTTGTGTCACTGTCCCTCCGCTGCTGCTCAACAGAAAAAAAAAAAAGAAAAAAACTTTGACTGTAACTGACTGCTGAACCTCAACTTGGTTATGATAATAACTTTGAATACTTTTTGCACAAAACAAGGACTGTGGATTGAATTCTTTCCTTCATCTTTTGATTACATCAGCACAATCTGATTCAATATTCCGGTATAGACACCTGACAGACCGATCCTAAACCTATCCTAAGATCGGTGTGCAGAGAATTGAATTGGTGGAAACATTTTGGTTCTGGTCCTGTGGGTGAAGTTCACAGATTGACGACGTATAAGGAGCATCATTATTGCCAAATGTCCTCTGCTGCTTACGCTGGTCAGCATCCTTAAATCATAATACACTTATCTTTGTTTGAATTAGTATTAGAAAATTTTTTATTGTGAATATTAACGAATATTCTTTGAGGATTCAGGAAATATCTCAAATGCTGTTAAATTATGAGTTTTTAAAAGATCACTGTACAATTATTTTCTGAGAAAATCAAATGTGAAAAAAAACGTGACTCGCATGTAGTGTTGACAATTGAGAGGCACACAAACCTCGGGTCTACATCTGCACCTGTGCATCCATGGGTTATCTCAGAGACTAAAACAGCTCAGTTTCTTTAGGGATCTTAATGAAGATCACACACACACACACACACACACACACACACACACACACACACACACACACACGCACACCACTGCTGACGTTTCTACTTCTCTTTCTGTAAGTGCATCTGTTCTGGCTGGTGGCAGCGTGTCTTTCAAGCAGATGAGAGGATTTGTTGCCACAGTGGTTAAAAGGCAATCTCTCAACTTTCACTGTGACACTTTAGCCTGGTTGATGTGAACAGAAAGGGCTACGATTGCTACTTCTCTCTCTCTCTCTCTCTCTCTCTCTCTCTCTCTCTCTCTCTCTCTC